CCACCGCCACCGCTACCGGCGGCAGCAGCAGCTGCTGCTGCTGCTGCCGTTGCCGACGCCGCAATGTCCTTGATCTCATCCGGCACCCCTTCCCCCTCCGCCGCCCCCCCGGTCAGCCCGCCCAGCGCCCCAGCGTACGTCTGGAGGATGCGCTTAAAAATGCCGTCGAGCACCTCGTTCTCGTAGAAGCTATAGAAGCTGTTCTTGCGGATGTGCTCGAGCAGGTTGAGCGCCTGCACGTACTTGCCTGCCCTCTCGCAGCAGCTGATGACCTCGCGGTAGACGTCGATGCTCGGCTGCATGTTCCGCCTGTGCATCTCCTGCAGGAGGGCGAGCGCCTCGCTCCATCGGTTGTGCGGCTTGGCGGCCATGGGGAGGATCAGGCCCTCGAAGGTCGCCTGGGTGAGGAAGGACGTCCGGGACGAAATCCGCAGCTTCTCCAAAGCGCGCTCGAACTCGCCAACCTCCGCCCTGTGTGTGGCGTGAACCAAATCAGTCACATGTAAGTCTTAAGTGTGTAGGGTGTGTACCATGCGTGTATGAGGTTGTCGTAGTGTTGTCTGTTGACCGGGACACCGTCCCTTATCATGCTGTCAAACATGGCCTCCACCTTGGCAGGCTCGTGGCCCTGCTTCAACACCTCCAGAATCTTGCCATACGACGCCTATAGATTAGATAGATTGATGGACACACACACACACACGCAGCCAGCACACACGCGTGGGTTGGGGGAGGGTTGGGAGGGTTGGCAGTGTGTGCCTGCCTGCCTGCCTGCCTACCGCGTTTGGCTTGAGTTTGGCCTTTTCCGTGAAGAAGTTCCAGATCTCCATGGCCTGGGCCGTGTGGTTGGCCGCCAGACACACGTCAAGCATTTCTCGAAGGATCTACAGTGAAGATACACAGACAGACAGACATACAACATGCTTCCATCCCTCTGTCCGTCTGTCCGTGTGTGTGTGTGTGTTTGTGTGTGTGTGTGTGATTTGACGGCCCCAACCCCCCCAACCAAACCCACCAGGTTGTCGGGCAGTATCTCGTTGTCTCTAGCGAACCGCCAGACCTTGATGGACTCCTTGACGGCCTTCTTCTCGCGACACACTTGCAAAGCATTGCATATCACACCCCTATACATAATCAACCAACCAGTGCAGACAGACAACACATAACATCCGCACACTGAGCACTGTTGCGTGTTTCTTGCTTGCTCATGTGTGTGTGCGTCTGTGTCTCACCAGTCGGGCTTGACGCCCCAGGCGGGCATCTGGTCCATCAGGAGCACCAGCATCGTCTCCACATCAGCTTCCTGCACACTCACTCACGCACAGGGGCCATTCATTCATTCTGCAGAAGTACGTGTGTGCGTGTGTGTGTGTGTGTGTGTGCACACACACCTTCTTGCAAGCGGTGATGCACTCGTTGAAGGCCACGGCGTCGATCTTGAGCCGCCGCTGCTTCATCTCACTCAACAGACTCAGAGCAACGGCTTTCTGCACACACACACACACACACACGCACTCCGTCTGTCTGTCTGTCTGTCTGCCTGTGTGGGTGTTCGGTTCACTTCCCGAACTCACCTGTCCGGTGCGCGCGCATCCGGTGAGCGCTGCGCAGTAGGTGACATAGTTGGGCGGCATCCCCCGCTGCTCCATCTCCTTCATCAGCACCAACGCGCCGTCCACCCACCCCGCCTAACCAACAACCACAACCACACACCACACCACACCCGGTGTCATGCATGCATCGAATCGATGGTGGCACATCTGTCTGTCTGCCGAGCGGAGCCAAGCAGAGCTCACCGACCTACCTTGCCGCAGGCCGAGACGGCGCACGAGTAGGCCACGAGGTCGGCCTCCACGTTGTCCCTCTGCATCTTGTCGAACATCGCCAGGGCCTGGGCGTAGTTCTTGAGCTGCACGTGTGCGTGCATGACCATGCTGTACATCCGCGCGTCAGGCATCACCCGCGCCACCAACGCCTCCCTGTTGACGCGCCCCAGCAGCTCCGCATTGGACCTCTCGGCCAGCACGGGGTTGTCCCTCCTGAGCCGCTCCTGCAGAAGGGGGCTCTCGCGCGGTAGTGACTCGAGGTAGCCAAGGTGCAGCTGCAGTCGGTCCCAGAGGTCGAGCACTCGCTGGTACTCGAAGGCCGCCTGGCACGCTTGCATGGCGCACGAGTAAGACACGTATGAAGGGCCGAAGGGCACGTTCTGATGGGGAGAGAGAGAAAAAGGGAGACACAGAGAGAGGGCTGGTGGGTGGGGGGGTCGGTGAGTGGTCGAGTGGTCAGTCGCTACATACCTCTGTTGCGGTGCCCCTGAGGGTGACGGACTGCGGCACGCGATGACCCGACAACTCATCCAACACAGACAACGCCTACAAAGACACACACACACACACACACGGAGACCTCGATCACAATCCCTTTCTGTGCCCAGCCGATGTGTGTGTGTGTGTGTGTGTCAGAGGGTGGTGGTGGTGGTGCGTACCGCCTTCCAGTCGCCGGCTCGTGCGAGTGTGTTGAGCAGCACGTTGTAGAGGACCAGGTCAGGCCTGACCCCCAGGGTGACCTGCACCTCCTTGAAGGCCTGAATCGACGTCGCCACACGAACCTGGCTCGCACCCGTCGGCAGCGGCACTCCACCAACCACACCCACACCCACACCCTCATCCACGTCCACAGCCCTCCTCGCCTCACTCTCTGCAGTCCCGTCTACATGGCCACCGCCACTGTCCCTCATGTCAACCCTTTGCATTTGCTGCTCCCCGCCCTCCTCCTGATTAGACTGCTGGTCGTCTCGATCGCCGCCCTGAGTGCTGGTTGTGCCGGTGGTGGTGGTGGTATCGGCAGGCGTGTTGAATGCCTGTTGGATGGAGTTCTTGCTGTCGAGCTGCAGCTTGATTCCCAGCTTCTGCTGCTTCATGACGCGGCCGTAAGCAGGGTCCTTGGGACCCTCCCGCACTCTCTCAAGCCCCGCGTCCTGCGGCTGCAGCTCGTGGGGCTGGGGACCAGACGCAGCGGGACCAGTGAGCGCCATGGCGGGGAGGGAGGGGGAGAGGGGCACTGGGGGCGGCGCGGTGTTGATGGGGAAGGTCTGGGACTCGAGCAGCTCGGGCATGTTGAGGGTGTTGAGACCGTCGCGAGCCTGGGAGCTGTACTCGCCACTCGGCAGGGAGAGCCGCGGGTTGAGTGTGGTGTTGCCGTCGGCGATGGCGGTGGCGGTGGCGCTGGTAGGAATGTTGTTGTCTGGGTCGAGCGAGAAGACCTCTTCCTCTTCCTCTCCTTCCCCGTGTGGATTTATGGCAGGCCCAGTCTGCGCGTGCATCTCGCGCAGCCTTTGGTCCTCCTCCATGTCCTCCTCTTTGCGCTTAATCGCCTCCAGCTTGACGCCCCAGGCGGCCACCGCCGGCCGCTCGCTGAACGACAAGACCGGCGCCCTCACCTTGACCACCTCACCATGCACCGCAGCCGATAGCGGGTCAGCCACAGCCACACCCCGCCGGGTGGGGGTGGCTCTTGTTATGGGTGTTGTGGCGTTGCTGTCCATGCCCATCAGCTGCTTGCCCCCCCGCATAAAGTTGTCCAGAAGGGAAGTGATGAAGGCCTCGCCCTCCTTGTCGGCCTTCTCCACCGGTCCGTCAGTCTGCTCGTCGGTGGGCGAGGTCCGTGAGGATCTGAGGACTGACATGGGCAGGGGGTTGATTCGCCTCGGCTGCGGGTCGCACGAGCGGAGGAACGAGGTGATGAACTTGATGTCGGGCTCGATGTGCTGCGACTCGGCTATCGCCTTCACCCTGAGTGAGAATCGACCGACCAACCGACACAGACAGGCAGACAGGCAGACAGACAGACAGGCAGGGAGAAGGGAAGGTGCACACGTGTATGCTGCGCATGTGTGGTGGTCGTCAGTGAGTCAGTCCGTCGCTCACGTACTTCATGGCGCTCTCGAAGTCCCCCAGGCGTCCGCACAGCGTCATGCATGCTCCCAGGTGCCGCATGTCCGGCTCGCACTTTGGCGGGTAGGCCCTCACACGGACATGGTAGAACTTCCTTTTGCCGTCGGTGGCCCTCGCGTGGTACTTGACGCTCATCAGCGGCCCCTGGCTGGGCACCCGCTTCAGCCAGGCCCACCTGCCGCTCCTCTCGCCGTTGGCCACGCAGTCGTGCAAAATGTCGGTGGCGGTCTTGAGCTGCGGCACGCGTGTCATCTGGCAGGCCCACATGACGAGGAAGTAGGTCATCTCATCGGGCCAGATGGGCCCCTCCACCTCGATGACGTGCATGGGCGGCGCCTGGACGAACCCCTCGTCGCTCGGGACCGTCAGGTTGTATCTGCTGCGGCCGAGGTAGAAGATGTTGGGGTGCTTGTAGCTGAGGGTGCACCAGCCGAACCCCCCGAACTTGATGGTCTTCTCGTCGGCGGGATCGGGGAAGGAGGGAGGGGGGTGGAGGGAGGTACGCGAAGGCCGCTCCTGCGTCATCTCCTCGAAGATCTGCAGCACACGCAGCCAGTTGCCCTTCTGGGCGGCCTTGAAGATGAGCCTGGTCAACCAGAGAAATGAGAGAGAAGATATGGATGGGACCTCCGTGTGAACCTGTGGATGGGCAGGCTCACGAGTTTTTGAATCTGCGGTAGCTCCTGATGGCCTGCTGGATCTGCGGCAGGGTCGGCCCGTCGTCCTTGAGCTCCAGCGGAAACACATCCAGCTCTCCCTCACCCCCTTCAGCCGCCGCAGCCCCCTCACCATAACCATAACCATAACCACCCGCATCGGCACCATGATCAACGTGACCATCATCATCATGACCATCATCATCATCAGCATACTCGGCCCTCAGGCGGGCGTGAGCATCGTCTGCACTAGCTAAAGGCGCGATGCCCCTGAAGCCGTTCGCCCTCTGCGAGCGTGTCACTTGCTGCCGCATCCTCTCCACCACTCCCGGGCCCGTCCGCAGATCCACTGGCACCCCCGCCTTCTGGCGCGCGACGGTGGCCGCCCGTCTTGCTCTACTTCCCTGGTCCTTTGACCGATAATCCAGCGCATTGACACTGGTGTCGCCGTTGACCTGCGGTGGCGCTGGGGCGACAGAGTGAGAGATGGCGGCACCGGGAGACAGAGATGGTGGTGGAGGGGCAAGCGAAGGAGAGGGAGAGGGGGAGGGGGAAGGGGATGGACAGCTGGTGCGGGATGATGGGTGGACGAGCGTCTGCAGCCGGGCCATCGACATCTGGGGAGTGAAGCGACCGCTGCCGCTGCCGCCGCTGCTGCTCCTGCAGTGCCGCCTGGACGAGGGCACCGATGGGGACCTCGGTGAGAGGAAAGATGGGCAAGGGGGGAGGGCGAACACAGATGCGATAGACATCAAACAAAAAATCATCACAGGCCCCCCGACTCCCTCGCGTGCTGACTTCCTCCGGTAACGATAAGACGCCGGCGACCCAGCCGATGGTGTGCGATGGAAGGCAGACAGGCATGGGGATCTGGCGTGGGAGGGGGACGGCTGTGGGGATGCTTCCACGCTGCACACATACACCACACAAACGAGTCAGGAAGCACACAGAGAGATGAGATCCCATGCCTTGGGGCTGTTGCCTTGCCTCACCTGACAGATCCGTCAGCGAATTCGCCGTCGGCGTCACTTGTCCTCATCCAATGGCTTCTCCTCCTTGGTGGCGCAGCCTCCCACACAACATCACTGCATTCGCAGTGCGATCGAAGATCACCCACCGTTTGGTCCATGGCTCGACCGTTCATTGAAGAGGCAGATCCTGCCGTGCACCTCCTGCGCACCTTTCTTGGCACCGGTCGAGTCGATCCATTTCGCAGTGCAAGCTCGCACCCGCTGAAGCGCAGGCCCAGAGAATGCGCCACTATCCAGTGGATGGCAGTGACCGCACGAGCTGACATTTGTTCAGAAAAGCCAAGCAGGAGGTCACTGAGGAAGAGTTGACTGGCTGCGAGGGGCCGTGTGGCCTTCAAACGATTTGGAATCTGCAGCCATCTATGGACGATAAGCAAATGTGGTTGGTGAGGCTCATGACAGACGCTAAGACGGGGGACCGGCAGGAGCTGCCGCGCCCTCCTTGGAGGCTGCAGCACTGGCGGCAGCTGCTGGCCTACCATGCCAACACGCCAAACACGCCCACTCTGGCCCTGCTGCTGCTTGCTGAGCTGCTTTTCTGTCTGCTGATCATTTGGAAAGTCCCGTGTAAGCACTCACTCACCCGCAGCCATCAGGGCCTGCCTGATGGAAAGGATTTGATGGATGGATTGACCTATTGTCGTCTTGTGTTGTGTTGTGTTGTGTTGTGTTGTGTGTCGTTTCAGACACAGAGATAGACTGGCGCGCCTACATGGAGGAGGTGGAGGGCTACCTGAAGGGCGATACCAACTACTACAATCTCAAGGTGGGCGGGCGGGCGGGCGGGCGGGACTGAATCGTCATTGCAAATCGGACCGGCTCGGCGTGGCAGTCAGTATTTGTGCTTGTACGGGTGTATGGTTTGGTATGGTGTGGTGTGTGCAGGGCGGGACGGGGCCGCTTGTGTATCCGGCCGGGTTTGTGTACATCTACTCGCTCCTCTACTATGTGTGCGACAGCGGCACCAACGTACAGGTGAGTGAAGTGCAATGCAATGCAGACCAGACCGTCCGATGAATGTGTGTGTGCGTGTGTCAACAGAGGGGCCAGTACATCTTTGCTGTGCTCTATGTCATCAACCTTGCTCTCGTCTTTGATCTGTACTCGCGGTCCAAGAAGGTGAGCGAACCACAACCAACCAATGGTTGATTGATTCGTGTGCACTGCACTGTCGACCTTTGAATGAATGCGTTTGTGTGTGTGTGATTCGTGTGCACTGCACTGTCGACCTTTGAATGAATGCGTTTGTGTGTGTGTGTGTGTGTGTGTGAGCGATGGTTGGTCATTCAGCTGCCTGTGTGGGGCTTCTTGCTGCTGTGTGCGTCGCGCCGCGTGCACTCGCTCTTCGTGCTTCGTCTGTTCAACGACCCAGTCGCTGTCCTCCTGTTTCACGCGTCTGCGTCGCTGGCATGCAGAGGGAAGTGGAGGCTCTCATGCCTCCTCTTCAGGTGTGCTGGTGTGGCCGGGATGGGTCGGTCGGTCGGTCGGTCGGTCGGGTGGATGGAGAGGCGGATTTGATGGGTGTCTGCCTGCCTGTGTTGCAGCATGGGTGTGTCGGTGAAGATGAACATCCTGCTCTACGCGCCAGGGCTGCTGTTCTTGCTGTGGAGGGGTATGAGTGAGCGAATGAGGACATCCATCAAGCGAGATCCGGTCCTCCCTCCCCTCCGGATTTGCCTGCGTTGCGTATGTGTGGAATGCAGCGAGTGGGGAGAGTGTGGTCGGGACTGTGGGCTACCTGTCCATATGCGCTGGTTTCCAGGTACAATTGGAAGGAGAGCTGCACAGACAGACACACATAGACACACACATAGACACCCACTCCTTTCTGTGTGTGTGGTCTGTCTGTGTCCGTCCACCAACCGTGCACTGCAGCTGTTGGTGGGCTGCCATTTCCTGGTCACGCACCCCATCGCCTACATGCACCGCTCATTCGAACTGGGGAGGGTATTCATGTACAAGTCAGTAAGGCCAAAGGAACGAACGGACAAACAATCGATTTCAATCATCCTGTCCAGCTCACCGCATCTCTCTCCCCTTCCCGCCCGTACCTGGCTGGCGCAGGTGGTCGGTGAATTGGCAGTTTGTGCCTGAGTGGGTGTTTGTGTCCAAGGGGTTTGCCCTTCTGCTGCTCGGCCTCCATCTAGCTGTCCTGTGGCTGCTCTTTCGACGATACTGGACCAGGTGAGGCGCGAACGCATCGTGTCCTCCCGGCCGGCCATCAAGTGTGTGTTGTATTGTGTTGTGTTATGTCTGGTCAGAATGAGTCCTGCCGGTCGGCCATTGACTCCTGGTAAGTAGTCTGGCAGGAAGATCAGATCAACCACATCAATCAATCAGGGCTGCAGTGAGTGCTGCCATGGCTGTCTGTCTGTGTGGTTGCCGGTCGCTTGCTCGCGCAGGTGTAATCTTGTGGGTGCTGTACTCGTGCCAGCTGCCGGGCATCATCTTTGCCCGCTCACTGCACTACCAATTCTACTCATGGTCAGTCAGTCAACACACACTCATACACACCCACACCCACACCCACTCAGAGCAGCGAGGGAGAAGAGTGAGTGACAGACATATGGGGTGTGTTGTGTTGTGTGCGTCTGTGTGTGTGTGTCCTGCAGGTACTTCTACACGGTGCCATATTTGTTGTGGTGCGGTCCTCAGCCCCTGTCGGTTCGCGTCGGTCTGCTGGTGTGTCTTGAGTGGGTGTGGAACCTTTACCCCCCACACATGGCCGTCTCACTGCTCATGCTCGCCACACACATCGCCATACTAGCGGTCAGGGAGGGAGGGAGAGAGGGAGGGACACGACCGATGGATGGAACGGATCTCTCTCTCTCTCTCTGTGTGTGTGTGTGTGTGTGTGGTGACTGCAGTTGTGTGTGTTAGCGACGGACGCCGGTGCAGTGAGGGAAGGTGGCACGGCCGCTACTGGCAAGACCGAGTAGACAGACAGAGACTAAGTGCAGAGACTGAGGCAGACAGAGATCTCAGTGAATGCATATCGATACCGACAGACAATGAACACTAGCAGAATCCATCCATCGAGTCAGGCAGTCATCATTCCGTCTTCCATTGTCCTCCACACACACACACACACACACGTATCCGTTCAGGCAGCACAGCCGTCGAATCGAAACGACATGCTATGCTGCCACGACGATCGCATTCGATTCATCCTCGAGTCGAGTCCATCTCGCACGCCGTCACTCACTCACCACACGTCCGATACCCCTCCACCCTTCTCGCATCCAACGCAACCGGCAGACTGCTCCGCCTGTCCAAATGACCACCCGTACCCACCCTAGCGTACGGCAATGACACGGGGGGCATGGAGGACGACCGCCTCCATGCATACTGCCAGTCGTCCACCATCTTGTCAAGGTTAGAGAATCGCCGGCCCAGCCGTGGCACCCTAAACCGTTTGTCCAGCCTCACGTCGACATAGGTCTCCTCTAGAGCTTGGAGCCGCGTCTCGAAGGGGAGACACAGCACAAGGAGGGCATCGACGAGCAGACAGACGGCCATGAGCAAAAAGTAGGCCGAGAATTTGCCTCCTGGGTGCTTTTGCACCACTGGGTGGTCCTCCACCGCGGCAACGAGCCACTCGAACAGCAGAGGGGAGATAATGCCCCCGATGCGGCCGAAGGAGATGGCCAGTCCGACGCCGGATGCTCTGCATGAGGTGGGGTAGAGTTCTGCAGTGTAGAAGTAGGTGAAGTTGAATGCGCAGCGGCCGGCAAACTTGGCGGCGACCACTGCAAAGGTGGCGCCTGCGTGTCTGAAGAAGAGAAAGAGGGCGAAGAGGAGCAGAGCGGCCGACGTGACCAGGAGGCTGCAGAACTGGGAAAGAATCCTGGGCATCACATCCGCATACTGAAATGAGAAGGCAAGAGGGCAAATGTGTGACGGGAGGAAACGAAGGGCAGGAAGGATTGATCGACCAAAACGAGGATGGCGTTGAGGCTGCTGACCGCCTCCCCAATGAGCAGCTGCCAGCCCTCGGCAACATTGCTTGCCTTCTCCATCTCTGGCAGACCTGCATCCATCGGGCAGACACACTCGTGAGATACATGTCATGAGTGCATCGATCATCGTGTGTGTGCTTGTGATTGCCGTCGCACACACATTGAGGGAGTGAGTAGGTCAGGCCGTACATGCAGAGGTTGCATGCTAGCGTCGAGTAGCAGAGACTGCATACACACACACACATAGCAAGCGCAGCCCCTACTCATGGTGCGCGTCGATCGATCGGCTTGTGTCAACCCTTCTGTGCTCATCACTCACATGGCTGTGGTGAAGCTGTATTTCCTCGAGAATATGACCATGTATGCCGTGGGCCCTCCCCTGGTGTCCTCCTCGGGTGCGGCCCACTCGGCCCTCTCATCCTCCAGTGCAGATATCCTCTTCCCGTTCTGCCTCGCCATCTTCAGCAGTATCCTCCTCGCCCTGTCCGTCTGCCCGTGCAGGAATGCCCACCGAGGGCTCTCAGGAAGCAGCATGGCGGCCGGTAGCAGCGTGACCAGGGGAGGGATTGTCGCCAGCAGGAGCAGGCGCCTCCACTCGATATGCATATGTGGGTCGAGCAAGATGACGCAGACACACACGTAGACTCCCCCGAACACCGAGAAGAGCGCACCCGCGGCCTGGAGTGGGGCTCTCGCTGCAATCGGCGACAGCTCGCTGGCAAGACTCAGCCAGGAGGGGATGCCCCAACCCATGCTAAACCCAACAAATGCGCGCGTCCCCAGCATATGCCAGTAGTTTGGTGCGAACATCGATGCGCCGTTGCCCACGATGATCCCTCCAAGCGCCAGGTTTGGAGACTTCCTGCCGTATCGGTCAGCCAGAGCACCGACAGAAATGCCGCCGGCCGCGAACCCGAGCAGCGTCGCGCTCATCAGCATCCCCCGGCCGACGGGGGAGTACCTGTCGGGAAGTAAGCAGCACACGCCACCATCGAGGAACTAATTGTCGCCGTGCTTCTTGCGTGCGCCAGTCGATACGCAAAGAGACACAGCCACTTGCATCGGCATACCAGGCGGACCCGAGAGTGCTGTTGATGACAGACAGGGCCAGCACTTCAGCGCCGTAGCAGAAGAAGAGAATGCCACACAACAGGGCGACGTGCAGCTGTGCCGGGCCGGTGCCGATGGCCTGATATGTTTTGAAGCGAATAAACAGTGCAAAAAGAGCATGCAGCGCCTTGCACTCCTTTGTCTGCGTGCAGCGTCTTCACTGTACCTCCAAGAAAAAGTTGACGTCCTTCTGCGCTTCCTCACTCATGGGGACTGCATGCTATGCTGGCCCGCACTCCTCTCCGCGTGGGGCTCCGCTGTTTCCGCTTCTCGCAGAAGAGAACATGTGTGTGCGTCTGTGTGTGTCTGTGGAGCGGCCGGCGTCGCCGCAAAGGAAGGCGTGTGCGAGCTTTCTGATCTAAGCTCGCAGACGTTCTGGGAACCGCTGACTGCTTCGGGAGAATTTCAAGCGCGAGTTTAAGCGCCTGGGGAGGAGTGAGCCCGTCCTAACCTCCTGCGAAAATGGATCTGATAAACAATGCCATCACTGTGCAGCTGCCGGCGTAAGGGGGAAGAGAGGCAGACAGCAGCGCACCGCGCATGCAGTAAAGTGACTCATTTCATCTATCCACCCTCCTTCTTTCGCTTTCGTTTTGTCAGGTACCTTTCCGCCTTGAAGGTGCCCACCTCACAAGGCACTCCACGAGACCCAAACACAGACATAGATGGTCATTCTTGTGTTGTGCAGGTCCCCACCTCGCTGGATCAGGCTGCCGGCCTTGACTTCAACGATTGGCTGAACATGCTGCCCGTGGTGGTTGCTGGCAGGCAAGTGTCAAGTGTGAAGAGGCTATATACAAGACCAAGATCTCGTGTGACGCCCGTGTGACTGTTGTGGGTGCTTTGCTGTGACTGCAGTATTGTGTTGCTGGCACCTGTGTTGGCCGCCGTGAAGATGGGCGGGGGGTCCAGCAAGAAGAAGGCCATGGTCAACCCGACGTAAGCGCACACAAGAGATGGAGGGCGGGAGTTGTGTGTGTGGACACGGAACGGTGTATGTCTGCTGTCAATCGGACGCATGTGTGGATGCAGGATTGAGAAGAGCAAGGCCAAAGTTGTGCACATGTGCACGTTCTCAGAAATCGAGGACACTGCAAAGGACGGCAAGGCGGCCTATTGCCGCTGGTACGACGGGCAACGATTCACCCACATCACATCATATGGCATTATTCACATCGCTGCACGTGCATGTGTCTGTCCGCAGCTGGCGGTCGGGGTCCTTCCCCCTCTGCGACGGGTGGGTCCTTCAGGGGACTTCTTTCTTTGTTCCTCTCTGCGAAATCGATCGAGGACACACGTGTGTCCTTTCTTCGTGCTGCGTGTTTGTGTGATTGCAGGTCTCACACGGCCCACAACAAAGCCACTGGCGACAACGTGGGCCCGCTGGTCATCAACTGTAAAAAATGAATGCCTCTCTGGTGGATGGCGTCAATTGAGATGGATCTGCCAGCACGTCGCTGCTCGATCTGGTGATTTCGGTTGCTAGGGGTTTCTGTCTGGCTGTCCGTGTGTGTCGGTGTGGGGTGGGGCCTGCAATGGGTATTGCTTGGCCGCACAGTGCGTAGGTGTATGCACGTACGTATCAATAAGTACTCAGACAGGAGGGACTGAGAGGGAGGGAGGGAGGGGGGGCATGGCCGTTTGTTGTTGGCACGTGTGTAAGCGTATATATAATTACGTACGTACGTCTGTGTGTGCGTATGTGTATGCCTATCTATCGCCTGTCGAATAGCGTCGCCGTATGCCTCGATGGGATGAGTGCATCTATGTGACTGACTGCCCGGCTTTCTGTATTGCTGGTTTGTCTGTCTTTCTTTCTTACTGTCTCATCTCGCATGGGGCGAGGACACACAGACACACACAGACACACGCCACACACACGCGTACGGCGGCCGTGAGAGAAGGACACAGAGACATCGCCATATGATCTGCTGAGTGACGGAATGACGGACTGACTCGCCGACAACCAGACATTTGAAGTGCACAAGTCACGGAGGGCCGAGCGCCTTGAGAACCTTCTTCAACCACCATTCATTGGGCTGACAGACAAAGAAAAGGAAGGCCACAACGGTACGGCGGAAGCAAGCGCACACGCCCACACCCACGAGCTTGCGTCGCCGGGCTGGTAGAAGTGAGCATCGGTCTTGACGTAGCGCCTGAATGAACAGTCAGTTCTCACACAAGACAAACAGCCATCCACTCGTTCCTGACTTCATGGCGATGCCGGCGAATGTTTGAAGGGCCCACTTGATCATGCACGAGTGAACATACAGGCTCGCAAACCTGGAAAGACAGAGACACGAACGAAGTGCCACCTCCCAGTGAAAACGTCTCTCCCTCCTTCCCTTCCTTTCTCTCTCTCTCTCTCTCTCTCTCTCTCTCTCACTCACCGATAGAGCGAGCTGACTTGTGGGACGGGATCCTTGCCGTCTCTTTCGCCTTCCCCATCGACCGGTTCGGTGCCGTTGCTCTGCAGCAGGCGAGGCGCCAGCCCGTCGGCTGTGTGTCGACTTGCCATCAGACGCCCTCTGAGCTTCCGCGCAGGAGGATTTGACGATGCCGTCCCATCCCCCGATATGTCGACCTGCAAGCCGCACACCTGGATAGCTACGAAGGCATGACGAGACACCACCTGCATAGACATTTTGTGTCTCGCCCATACACATGTTCAGGCGAGGCGAGTTCCTTTCCCGGTGGGCTGCGGTAGAAGCCGCTGCTTTTGAGGAAGGCCTGGTCGTTGCACCGCCACACGAGCTTCTCTCGGCGCCTGTCTTGGCATCAGTGCACCAGGTGTGGTACATGCGGCAGTTCTTAACCATGTTGAAGTCCTTCGAGTCAAGGTTGTCCTGCCACGACTGCACACAGCTGGACAAGAGGAAGAAAAAGAGACAGACAGACACACGAATGGATGCATTCGTGGCACACGAATGGATGCATTCGTGGGTCTGTCTGTTGCCGGCGGTTTCGTCCACTTTTGATGAGGTTACTTACAATTGTGCGAGGGAGAGGCACTGTGACATGGCGAGTGACAGGCCCTGGATGACGTGCAGCAGCTTGAGAAAAGGCGGGATGGACTTGCAGCTCCAACCCAGCCAACGATCCAAACACGCTGTGCGCACAACGCCCCAATCACACAGTTGCTGGCCGGTGACATCGTGTCCATTCCCTCACATGCGCTGGCGAAGTCTTTGGTGCGATAGTTGGAGAACCGACGGAACACTCTGAGAGGGAGAGAGACAAGAGGAGAGGCAGAGAGGGGGGCAAATGGACAGGCATGCCAATGTTGGTTGGTCATCGGCGTGGATGCATACATACAGCATGATGATGTAGAAGAAGACGGCTTTGCACACGAGAGACACCCACGTGAAGAGCACCAGAATGTGCAAGAACGACGTGTCGCCCATCGGACACCTGCACACAAATCAAACACCCGCCCCTCAGCCCGTGCCGTGTTGATAGCTCTTCTCGAGTCGTTTGTCACTCACTCCTGGTCATACATGTAGCCGCATGCGTCGGGCCGCTCGCACCATTTGTCGTGGCCAGGCCCCACACAAACACCCCCAGCACGAAGAAGAGCAGCTCGATGTACGAATACCTGCAGACAGATGCGCAAGGTGGGGAGGCAGATGTCGTGCATTCACCCATCGTGCGTCGTTCTGGTGGAGCGCACCATTTGAAGTAGTAGGCCTGCTTCCAGCTGTTTCGCCTGAACCGCCAGTGGAAGCTTAGCGTGTTGAGAAAACCCTTCTTGGACAGCCTCTTCTTCGCTGGCGCCATCAGATTGATTACGGCCGGACAGGCACGCAAGAGACCGGAGTATGGGAGTCACACAGTTTGCAAGCTTAGCGGACGATCCTGGGTCTCGACCGGATGCATGCACCGCATGAGCCATGTCAAGACGAGAGCTCTCCTTGACGACAGGCTTGTTTGTGTTCCACTCTCCAAATAGCTTTTGTACTATGTACACGTACTGCACACAACCGATCATCCGTCACCGGAGATGTGAGACACGCTGAGCTTTTGCAGCTCATCAGACACGGCAGCTCCCTTCCCTCCCTCCCCACCCTCCCCAGCATCACTATCGCCCTCCCCAGGATCACTGCCCTCCAGTTCATCCTCCGATGAAGCTGCACGGCAAAGCAGCCCCCACACTTGCACGCGACTGTGAGGAGCATGCACGCCTGGCTCTGTCACTGACATGGTGGGTAGAGGTCGTTGTAATCGGTCGGGTTGCTCCGCTTGCTCTGGGCGGCAGCCTTGGCCTCCCTAATGTAGTCCTCCTGGACACGAAGCACATCGGCAGATGTGGACCCTTCAGTGGCATAACGGTCCAGCAGAGACCTGATCGGGTCAGTCGGGAGCAACACACAGATATGCAGACACAAATGCACGAGTGTGCAGGTGCCGTCACTTACTGATTCAGGCTGACGAAGGCGTGGCCCCACTTGAAGACGCGAAGCAACTCCATCGCCTTATCTGCATGGCCCTGATGCATCCATCCATCCATCCATCCATCCATGGGGCCCATCAATGGACATGTGGATGATTGCCTGTCATGTATCCGCCAGTAGTCTGTGACTCACCGTGATGTAGAGAGCGGCCGACAGGGCCTCCACACAGGACAGCTCACACGGCCGACCATAATGAGCCGGGTTGGCCGCCACCAAAAAGGGTACTACACACACGAAACACGATGGATGGATGGCCCGTGTCGCCTCCTCTCATGCTGCGTACATAGTCGTTCGTGTCCATTGTGCAGTCGCCTGAAGGGCACTTCATCAAGTCGATTCCACGAGCAGTCCACCACACACAGACCCTTCTCGCCGACCAATTGAGCGTCATCACGGGAGATGGCGCGCGTGGCAAGCGGACTGAGTGGGGACACACAGAGCAAGCATGCATCCAAGAGATGGCTGCTACATGTCAGCTGTTCTCTGACGGACTCACCTCAGCACGACACCATGGAACCGTTGTGAGGTCCGAAGGAGCGAGATCTTCCTGAGGCGGCACAGCTTCCTACCGCTGCACTTCTTGATGTCACAGTGACCGAAATCCTGACGACAGACACAACACACGCGGCGTGACACTCATGGATGGTCTTCACTTACCCACATCGCCAGTTTGATTTCGGCATCCTCTGACACATCCGCGCCGTCATTTTCATCATCCTCCCCGAGATCTTGACTGCCGCCATCCTCATCAGACGCTTCGGCATCCGGCCTCTTCTCATCCGGCGCATCGGGGAAGTTCTCCACAGCGTCATGAAAACTTTGCTTCCGATTGGCCACCCCTCTTCCGCCGCGTCCCCTCGACTTCCTCGTCATTTTGTATTTGGCTGCTCTTTCCAGGATTTCATGGAGCACCCTAGGCCAAATCTGCGAGCTTAGCTCCCGTTAGCGTCCTGTCCTCTCCTCCTTCCGGCGGTAGAACCCACCATGCAGGATGCGTGATTGGCACTGTTCATCCGGTTTAGGATGGCGTGGTGCGTGTGCGGTTTGGCTCTCTCCTCCGTCAGCCTTGTGCTGCTCGCCGCCGGCAGCTTCATCCTCGCTGCATACTTCCAAGGACTCGGTGATCAGAGGGGGCAGAACACTTGTTCACATACTTGTTCACATCTCGTTTGCTTGTGAATGAGTCATCTCTGCACTGATTGACTGTCTGTCTGTCTGCCTGCCTCAGATGCGCTTCGAGCCTATCGTGACTCGAAGCTGATCTTATCCCCCGCAAACGAGAAGAGATGGGCAGCCATTCCCGGTGGGATGCATGCACACGGACGGACGGACACACCCATGCATGACCGTCTGTCTGTCTGTTGTCACCATGAATGGGTGCAGGCGACACCAAGGCCAGCTACACCACCTACATCTATCTCTTCAACATCACCAATCCCCACGAGGTCAGATCACGCATGCACTTCACTTTACACACATGCTTTTGTCTTCACCGAGTGTGTGGTTGGGTGGTTGGTTGGTTGGTTGGTGCAGGTGGTGGCTGGTGTGGCTAAGCCCCGAGTGGAGGAGGTGGGCCCTTTCGCCTTCACGACTCGGCAAGAGTACTTCGACCTGACCTACAAGCCCAGGACTGTGCAGTTCCGCCGGCGAGTCACGTATGAGTACAGCAGAGATGAATCCCTTCCGCTCAACACCACCGTGGCCACCGTCAACCTGGTCAGCCAACCAGGCAGCCAGGCAGCTGCATGGCATCGATTGAGAGAGGGAAGTATGTGTGTGTGTGTGTGTGTGTGTGTGTACGTGTGTACGTGTGTGTGTGTGCAGGGTCCCTTTGGTCTGTTTTCGAACATCAAGGCGCTGGGACAGTCGACAGCCATCACTGCAAGTGAGAACGGCATGGGATGATTAGCCGCATGGGTGTGTGCTGTGTGCGTGTGTCTGTGTGGCCTGCAGGGCGTCCCACTTGGCAGGCTTTCAGACGGCTTGTGGATGACTTAAACAACTCGCTTCCCCCGGCTATGTACGGCCTGGTAGCTCCCACAGACACTAGCGAGACTTCACGCAATCAACCACCATGCATCAGCTTCTCTCACCTATAGGCCGCGAATGCCCTCGTGAAGTTTCCGCTGGAGCTGCCTGCCCCCCTGCACAAGGCGCGTTTGGTGTGGGATGATGGATGGTTCGGCCTGAACAAGGGCCTCCCTGGCTGGTCAATGTGGTACCAGGCACTGGGCCTGGGCGAGCCGGGATGGGGGGCCGAGCTCAAACAGATGATTATCGACCACTTCGACCCCGTTGTTGGCAAGTGAGTCCATAGGGAGGAAAGGGGAGGCAGGCGAATGAAGGCGAATTCGGCTTGTGATATTTATTGCTGCAGGGATTACGTGCTGAAGGTGTTCGATCGGCTTGACAGTCTTCGCAACAGAGTGCGGGCCATCCTTGTGCGGCACCCAGCGATAAGGTGAGGAGCGCTCATTCATCCCCACCACCCGCCATGAAGACACGAAAGCTTTTCACTTGCCTTACTTGTCTCTTTCTGTCTGTGTCTGCAGGAAGGCGGCCGGTGAGCCGCCATCGTGGCTGCTGAAGGATAAACTTGAGGAGGTGCTGGTGGCGCTGCAGTGGGGGCAGGCCTTCGTGTCCTCGACACCGCTGCTGCCAGGCGTCCCCACCCACCCTTCCGTCAAGGGATACAACGCGTCCCTGCCTGTGGCGCCTGAGTATGCCGGCAGCTTGACTGATCCCTCCCTGAAGCTCACACTGGACGAGGCCATGCCCCTGGTGAGCGAGTGAGGCGGCTCGGGAGACTGGCATGATGGATGTCTCTCCCTTCCCTTTCTTTGTCTGCTGCGGTCGAGCAGTTGTCTCGGAGTGACAATGGGTCTCTGTACAACGACTATGAGTCATTCTCTGCTCTGATGGACCAGCATGGCGACACTGGTGCTGTGGACGTGGTCGTCAGCAGGAGGGCGCTGCACCCCGGGAAGGTGCCGGCACTCAGCGACAAGAAGAGAGCCGCCATGCGGTCATACTTCGGTACGAGACAAACCGACAACATAAAAACCTGCGGGATCCCTCCTCGTGCTGACCGTCTGTTGCTCACCCTTCAGAATACATCAATGCAGCGTTCATATGGCAGGCATCCGGCCCCGGTGTGGGTGCCCTGGACGCCGTCGTCGCCGCGCAGCTCACCCAAGGCTCCCTCATGCCGGGATTCATGCACTTCGCCCACCAGCTCGTCGATGCCGCATCGGTGCGGCGGCTGCTGGCGGACGATGGCTGGCTCGATGCGACTCGGCAAACCATGCGGGCGCTTCTGAAGAATGTGACGAGCGACCAGCTGACGAGGCTGGAGAAGGACAATCGGTTTGGATGGGGCTCCCCTGCCGGCCTGTTCCAGTGGCTGGAGCTCGAGCATGCCGGCACGGAGACCATCAAGGCCTTCCTGCAGAATGCGAGCTCGGCCAGCGGTGCGACAGTGACAGTGGACATGTATGAGAGCAGCATAAAGCCGCAGGTGTTCGCACATGCTGCTGAGGTGACGAGACAGTGGCTGAGTTCGCGAGTGCCTGGGTGTGGGGAGGGATGCTCTTTGCTATCGCTGGCGGCGCTCCAATGGGGTGGGCACACGTGAGAGCCGACACGCGGAGGGCTGGGTGGACTGTGTGGTGGCTATCCTTGTGCATGCCATGCAGGCGGATCTCACGTGACGACGGCCCTTGCATCCGTCAACGCCACCGAGGCCCAGCGGCTGCACTACCTATCTTCGTTTGACTTTGTGCCCCGTCGGACACGCGTACCCGAGTTCATGGAGATCCCCCACGCCGCATGGCTTCTCTACAAGTGCGGCGGCGCCGGCAATGGCGCCAGCTGCCCTTCGGTCGACCTGCCGTCAGTGCAGCGGCTCTTTTCGCTCGCCTTTGACAGCCTCGTGGCCTCAACAGTCCTGCAGGAGTTCCTCTCACTCGCCACCAACAACCGCACACAGGGGGCGGCAAGGCTCATCGGCGTGGACGCATCCCTCGTGCCCCTCATCTCGTTCTCCGTCCTCTCGACGGCGTTTGACGGCGGGATGTTCACCACCCTGACCGCCTCCGACCTGCTGGAGGGCTATGTGGACGCGTCTTTGCGGCGAGCCACAGACATGGGCCTCCTGGCTTTGGCTGGTACGCCGGTGGCCGATCCTTTGCTCTGTCTCAACCCCAATGTGACGGACCCGCCGGCAGACGAGCCGTCAGAGATGAAGAGAGGCACTGGCGACATTAGGGAGCTGCGGATGATGACGCGGTCCAAAGGCAGGGCGCTGATTGAGCAGCAGGAGGTGATCAACACGGGAGACGGCGGGACGCAAAGTAAGAACTTGGAGGTGTGGACGGGACCTGATGGCCGAGCACACGTGTCGGTGTATGGCACCGATGGCGTACAGGTGGGTGCGCGTGCACACACGCAGAGCGGGCAATAGAGAGATGGATGGCATAGCCTCTCGTCCTGTTTGTTTTTCTTTCCCTCTCTGGCCTGGCCCAGGCGCCTCCTGACGTGTCGAGGAGTGTGCACCTGTGGGTGTATGACCCCGACCTCATGCTCAATATCCCCTTTGTTTACCAGCCCCCGCCGTCACACCCCCCGACCACAGCGCGGCGGTCAGCCAGAGCCGTCCGGCCCGGCGATGACCCGTACGGCATCCAGCCTCTCGTCTTCATCACGGACACCACCTACTTCCTCGCAAACGCCTCGACGTCGCCCGCTTTCTTCATCCATCGCGACAATCTCCTCAACCTCACGGCCGTCAAAAACGCCCCCCTGTTCGCCTCCGCCCCCTACTTCGCCGATGCGGACCCCTCTCTGCGGGAAATGGTCGGCATGGCGCCCCCGTCAAATGACTCCGCCGACCTGGTGACATTCCTCTCCATCGAGCCATGGAGCGGCATCCCACTCATAACGGCCAAACGCATCCAGATCTCTGCTCACGTGGCTCCCCATGTGTCATCTGGGCTGCTGGCGCCCGCCGCGAGAGAGGCCTTCGTGCCGGTATTCTGGATGGAGAAGGTTTCGCGTTTCCCGACCGACAGCCCCGTGCTAACGATGGTCCACCAGGGCGTCTACTGGAACGGCGTCCTCTCACGATTCGCCAGCACAGGGGGCCTCTCGACGGGCGTCGTGTGCGTGGCTCTCTCCCTAATCGCGATTATTGTCGGGCTGTCTGTCGAGAGGAAAAGGCGACTGGTCTCCTTGCGGCGGCAGAGAGTCGCGGATGCGACGGAACCACTCGCATGTGGGAGAGAAGGGGGGGATGAGGGGGTGCCCGAGAAGCAGGAGGATGAGGCCGGAAAGGGTGCTATGAGGGTGGACAGCGAATCGACGGAGGCGCAGCCATGATCGATGTGATGGATGACACCATCGGATCGGCCAGCCAGATGTGGGTGGCGTCTGAGCGTAACGCAGTACATTTGTCAGTCGTGTGTCCGAAGAGGGCGAGTGAGGAGAAGAACGCGCTACTGATGTGCACAAGACGAGGTGCGTGTGCATGTGCATGTTGAGTGCGTGGTCTGTAGTGTGTGCTACATAATGTGGCCGCCCAGACGGGAGGGGTCGATATATATCCATCTTTGTTTGTGTATAAGGGAAGGAAGGAAGAGTGTGTAGACTTTTCTCCTGGTGCGATGCGATCGATGAGAGTTTGTGTAGTGGCTGGCTGGCAGTCTGTGTTTTCTTGTGGCTGGTGCGGCATTGCATTGCACCGCACCCGGCTGCGAGTGAGTGACGGAGAGAGTGGTCTGCATCAATGCAGACAGACAGACAGATAGACAGACAGACAGACAGACGGAATTCATGCGGACAGAAGACATCCATCGACGCTCAGATGAATGCGGCCACATAATTGACACATGACGGCGGACAAACGGGTCTTGCGTGCTCATCGTCCGCCCCTCGTCACTCACTCCCATATCGCACAACCCGACAAGACGCCGCAAAAGTAAGTAGCCATTGACAGCCACAAAGCGCTCTGACTGCACACTCCCGTCATCCACAATGACCAACCAGCTCCGCACGACAGGCGTCATCTCCGCATTCTGCCGCCTTCCATTTCCTCTTCGTATTCGATCTCAATCCGAGGCCGCCGTCGACCTGACGACCAAGCCAAGCCATCACACACAGACGGGACACACACCAGCCTGACGCCACGTGGCGTGGGACCTTTGTTAGATGTGTAGCGGACAAACCTGCAGGCAGCCTGGGTGGCGGCTCCAGGTGCTTCTTTGCTCCGGGGGCGACCAGCTCCTGTTCTTCTTCGTCGGCCATGTCCTCCATGTCCTGCTCTTCCTCTTCCTCTTCCTCTTCTTCATCCTCACCCTCGAGAAACGCCAAACGACCTGAACACACACAGAAGAGAGGAAGGAAGATCGGTCACAGGCACTTGTCTGTGTGGCCGGCCCACAGTCTCTCTCTCTGTGTGTGTCTCTCCGCTAGTGTGTGTCTGCTGCTGACTGACTGACTGACCTTCCGCTTCTCCCTCGAAGTCCTCTTCATCCTCCATCTCCTCGTCCTCCTCTTCCATCTCCTCCGCCTCATCTTCCTGCTGGTCGATGACATGGTTGAAGTTGCGCTGCGGGAAATTGTAAATGTCGCCATAGGTCCCCTGCAGCGCACGCACCGGCACAACCACAACGGCACAGGTATCCATCACTGCCTTGTCCCCAGAGGTATCTATCTGTGCGTGTTCGTACGCACCTGCCTCAGCCGTTGCAGCAGCTCCTTCTCGATTGCGAGGTCCACCTTGGCGGCGGCCTCGGCCTTCTCCTCGCGCACCCTCTCGCGGCGCTCGGTCTTCTTCTTGATCGGTACCAACTTGGGCCTGATTGACACACACACACACATATACATAGACATAAATGTGTGGGTGGATGAATGACGCCCCTCAAGTGTGCCGTTTGTGGCAGCTGCTGGTGAGAGCCGTGTGTGCATCCATCTACTTTGGCTGGAGTGCGAGTTTCCTCATCTTGATCAAGACCTGCCGTATCCTGGTCAGCCGCTGCTTGCACCGGTTGATCTGGTGGGCCGGGTACACGCCCTGCATCTCGCTGTCAATCTGCTTCAGCGCCTGATGCAGCAAGGAAGGAAGGAACAACAGCTGCTTTGACTGACTGATCGTGCCGTCAGCTGTCCGCCTGCCGGCCTGCCTGAGCCACGTACGCACCTCATTGAGGTTTTTTGAGAGTTTGACTTTTTCCCACAGTTGTCGCGGCATGTGTGCCCGCTCGATGGTCTTGAGATGCAGATAACACTGACCTGCACAAACAGTGGGTGGGTGGGTGTGCGTTTGTGGGTCCCTAGCTACCTACCTTTGTCTTCCATGACAGTGCCGTAGAGGCTGTTGGCGAGAGGGCACGACACCCGGTTGCACAGACCGGTCACATTGTAGTCGTTGCGGCAAAAGGTCTGCGTCTTGGTCCTGAACAGGGGGGAACACAACCAATCAGCCATCACACAACATATGACATGAGCCAATCAATGTCTGCGTGTGATTTCCTGTCCCCCTGTGTCTGTCTGTGCGTGATCTGTGCCGCGTCAGTCATGCATCCATACTTGACTTTGAACGAGCAGAAGCCATGGTTGAGGCTGAACCACGTCACCTCGTCGTTCTGCATCTATCACTCCACGTCGAACCAGGAGTGAGTGAGCCGCCGACTGCCGCCAATCGATGACCGATGAGCGACGCACAGACTTGAGATCTGCTCGAGCTCAGACACATTAACACACAAGCAGCAGCTGTGTGAAGCATTGTCAGTCTTCCTTTGCGCCTCTCGCTACCCTCTCACCTTCGATGAGCAACCAAAAGCCTTCAAAATCCGCCCAGGGTTTTTCGGGTTCAGGGTTTGGTGCGAGCTTGGCTTTTGCGGGACTTAAAATCTGTGATTTGCAGCTTTCCGTTGCTTACTGCAGCGTGCATTGGCCAGCCGTGTCCACTTCAACCGAGATCTATACAGATCAGCCCATCCCGTGCGCCGCAGTCGACTGACCTGAGCGTGTGCGTCGCCTCCCTCCCTCATCACCTCACCCCGCCAGCGGCTGCCAGCATGGCTGTGTCGACCGTCAACGCGCGTGCCGATGTGCTCAAGAAGAGCGCCGCGCTGGCCGTCAACTGCAACGCCGCCAAGGGCCTGCAGGAGGTGCTGAAGAGCAACCTGGGCCCAAGAGGCACCCTCAAGATGCTCGTGGGTGGCGCCGGGCAGATCAAGATCACCAAGGACGGGTGCGTGCTGCTCAACGAGATGCAGATACAGCACCCAACCGCATCGATGATCGCCAGGGCGGCCACAGCGCAGGACGACATCACTGGCGACGGCACCACCTCGCATGTGCTGCTCGTGGGCGAGCTCATGAAGCAGGTACGTCCAGTGCGTCCGGGGCGTCCATCGCTGAGTGGATGGATGGATGGACGGGAGGGTGGGTGTCTCACATTTGCATGTCTGTCTGTCTGTCTGCCTGGCTGTCTTTGATATATGTCTGTGTGTGTAACAGGCTGAGCGTTATGTGCTGGAGGGTGTGCATCCCCGCATCCTGTGTGAGGGCTTCGACCTCGCCCGCAAGGAGGTCCTGAACTTCCTCGACACCTTCAAGGTCCCCTCCCTCAGCGACAAGGGCGAGCCCGACCGCGAGCTGCTCACCTGCGTCGCCCGTACCGCCCTCCGCACCAAACTCCACACCCAGCTCGCCGACCAGCTCACCGACATCGTCGTCGAGGCCGTGCTCATGATCCGCCCCAAGGACAACCCTGGCGAGGAGCAGTCGATGCCCATCGATCTGCATCGAGTGGAGCTCATCCACATGAAGCACAAGCTGACGAGCGACACTCGGCTGGTGCGGGGGCTGGCGCTGGACCACGGGTCGCGTCACGCGGACATGCCCAAGCGCCTGGCGCGCTGCAAGATCCTGACGTGCAACGTGTCGCTCGAGTACGAGAAGAGCGAGATCAACTCGGGGTTCTTCTACAGCAGCGCCGAGGAGAGGGAAAAGCTCGTGATCGCCGAGAGGAAATACACCGACGAGAAAGTCATGAAGATCATCGAACTCAAAAGACAGGTGGGTCGGTGGGAGGGGAGGTGGGGAGGGTGTCGGGCGTGTGGCTGGCTGGGGTGTACATGTATGTGTATATGTGTTGGTAGGTGTGTACGCCAGAGAGCGGTTTCAGCTTCGTGGTGTTGAATCAGAAGGGCATCGACCCGCCCTCACTCGACATGCTGGCCAAAGAGAACATCATCGCACTCAGGAGGGTACGTACATTCAATGGATCGATGCGCATCGCACGGCAGCAGCGCCACCTAGCGCACACAAGACATGCTGTGCTGTATGTGTGTCTGTGTGTGTTGGCCAGGTGAAGCGTCGCAACATGGAGCGTCTGACGTTGGCGTGTGGCGGCAGTGCGGTCAACTCGGTTGACGACCTCACACCAGAGGACCTGGGATACGCCGACGAGGTTGGCCAATCCACACACACACACATACACATACAGAGAGAGAGAGAATCATGCACTCATTCACTCACTGTGTGTGTTGTGTGTCCCTCACGTGTGTGTGTGTAGGTGTACGAGTACACGTTGGGCGACGAGAAGTACACCTTTGTGGAGGGCCTCAAGAACCCCCAGAGCTGCACTGTGCTCATCAAGGGACCTACCGACCACGCCATCGCACAGGTACACTGACACACAGACACACGAAGACGCCTGACATGCATGGTGTTTTGTTTCTCTTTGTGTGTGTGTGTGGGTGCGGCCAGCTCAAGGACGCGACGCGTGACGGTCTGCGTGCGGTCAAGAACACCATCGAAGACAAGTTCCTCGTCCCCGGCGCGGGAGCATTCGAAATCGCCGCATACGCTCATCTACAGGTAAACGCGCACCAAGTGAGTGGTTCGTGTGCCTGCCTCTTGGCCAGCTTGTGTGGATGGTATGGTTGGTATCTGCCGTTTGCGCCTCCTGTATTACATCTGTCCACCAGACGTACCAGAAGAGTGTGAGCGGCAAGGTCAAGTTGGGTATCCAGGCCTTCGCCGACGCCCTCCTGACCATACCCAAGACTCTGGCCGACAACTCGGGACTCGACGCACAGGTCAGCAAGAGGGATGGGAGGGGACACACACCTGTAGTGTATGTGTGTGTATATGTGTGTGTATGTGTTTTGCGTGTGCCCATGCTATGCAGGACACGATTCTTCATTTGTTGGAGGAGCACGAGAAGACAAAGGAGCCCGTTGGGATGGACGTCATGACGGGAGACGCCATGCCACCCGCCATGGAAGGTACAAAAGGGCTGTCTGTCTGGAAGCCTGCAGACAGCCACATCGATGGATGGATGGATGGATTGGTTCTGTGCGTTGCGTTGCGTTGCGTGGTGTGGTGTGGTGTGTGTAGGTATCTGGGACAACTACCGCGTGAAGCGGCAGATGATCGGTCTGGCACCCTCTTTGGCGCAGCAGCTGCTCCTCGTGGACGAGGTCATCAAGGCCGGCAAGCAGATGAGGGCACAAGACTAGCTGACGGACGATAGATAGATAGGGGCGGGCAGACTATGTGCGTGCGGTGTGGTAGCCTTTCCTCTCGCTCTCTCTCCCTCCCTCCCTCCCTCCCTCTTGCGTACATACGCTGCTGCCTTGTCTCTCTACTACCCTGCCTGCTGCTGCCTGCCTGCCTGGATGTGGCGTCTTGCATGTCATGTGTCCCTATCTACTTCCCTATCCATGCCATGTATCTGGGTAGCATAGCAACCTGACCTGCGAGCGAGACACGGACTGTGCAGACAGACAGACAGACAGACAGAGGTTTAAGCAAGCCTGGTGTGGGAGGGGGCGGTGTCGTGTGCCCATCACACACACGCCTAGCTATCTTCCTTCGTCGGTGTCGATATATAGAAAGACAGACAGACAGACAGACAGGTTGACCGGACTATCGCAACGAGCTGCAGGACTGGGTGGCTGCAGCTCGCGCGGCTCATTGGTAGGCAGCCGTCAGCCTCTAACCTAAGAGGCTGGTGGCAACCTACCGGTGCCTTGGTGCCAGCTGCAGCACCCAGTGCTGCAGACAGTCACATGTGTGGGAATGACCGACTCGCTAGCTGAGATGTGTGAGGGGATATATTGTGGCCAATCAAACAAACAGACAGACAGACCAGTGATGGGATGAGATGGGTGGATGGTTCTCGTCACTGTTGGCGCTTCATGGATCGTTAGGCCCCTGCCGGTAGGTAGGGAGCGAGTCCATCGAGCGGCAAGTGCAGTGCAGTGCGTGACACGACACCGGACGTGGTACGTACGTGCATACGGAGACGAGTGGATGCTATGCGTAGGATTTAGCCGGTTGGCCTGTCCGTGAGTGCGTGTGGCGAACCATCAACCAACATTTATACACACAATACACGGAAGGAAACACACATGGGTACGCGACCGACATGCACAAGTCCGCCCCCATGCATGAGGGCAAGAATGGATGGCTACCTGTCCGTCTGTCTGTCTTTACACCCAACCATCCACCACCCACTGAGTCTCCTCCTCTCAGGGCTAGCTACCCTGTGGCGCCAAAGTGCGTCCACTGCGACTTGCTGCCCGCGAGGGGGCTCTTGAAGTCAGCTACCGTCTGGCCAAGCAGCGCTGCTCTCTCATCACCCCCAGCATCACCGCCGCCACCGCCAGCGCCGCCAAAACCGCCATACCCATCCCTACCACCGCCCGCAGCATCGTGTGCCTGTGCGTGTCGGTGTGTGTCGCCGAATGCTTCAGGTTTGAGGGCCAGGATGTCTCGCATGCGCTTGCGGAGGGTGAGCACCATCTGGATGCCCATCACGGACGCTGCCGCAGCCAGGACGGCGAACAGCAGCAGCGAGACGCAATACAGGTCATAGCCTGACGAGAAACGAACGATTTGTTTGTGTTTCCTCTGCTCTTCGCTCACCCTACCCTGTCCGTAGTAGGTAGCTTCTTGCTGCACGGGGTCTATAATCCACTCAAACATGAGGGGCTCCTCCACCTTCAGCCCATACCTCTGCGCAGCCGCGTCAATCGCATGCCGATACCGCTCACGCATCCCCTTGACCACCACCCGCACCCCCGAACGCGCCTTGACGTCCCCCACCTCACCACACTTGAACACTATCGCCGCGCCGCCCGAGCTCGAGCAGCAGTCGGTGCCCACCGCCCAGAAGTCGGTTACTGTGTTGGTTCGGGGGTTGCCCTGCGCGTCGAAGATGTTTCGCTGGATGGGCGCCGCACAGTAGATGGTGCCTCCCTCCAGGTATGTGCTCGCTCGCGCGGTGTCGACAGAGGTGCCGTCCGCGAACACCACCTTGCCCGCGTCGAGCATCTGCTTGCCGGTGTTGACTTCGGGCTTGACGTCGATGTAGGTCTGCAGGCCGTTGAGGCGGTAGTAGGTCTTGAACAGATACTGCCACAGCAACTCCCCACACACCACCCCCAGCACCAACGCCACTGCAAACAGCACCGCGGCGATGGCGTGCCACATCCGGCCGGTCCGTCTGCCCATCGCCGCAGCGAGGTGTGGCGCCATCATTGCCCGTCTGGCATCTGTTGAATGTGTGTGGGGGGGCGGCCGGGGCAGCTTCTCTGGCGGCGCGTATCGAGCCCAAACGATGTTGGGAACGACGAACACGGCGAATGCGGCCAGCCAGATGAACCATGCCCACCCAAATGAGAAGCGGTAGAGTGACTCTCCAGCGGCAAAGTACTCGGGCCTGAAGCAGAAGCCCGTCAGGGTCAGCCAGAAGAGCACGAACGCCACGAGGTAGACGGAGGTGAGGCTGAGGTAGTCCCGCAGCTGCACGATGAACCTGACGCCGAGGCCGGCGGTCGTGAAGCCGGGGAACGCACCTGCAACGCCGGGGAAGGCAAATGCATATGCGCCACCGAAGATCCCCCATTTGTTGGACGGCTGTCTGGCCAGCAGGTAGGCCTGCTCGGCGAAAGTGAGCCCAGTCGCCTCATCTGCGGATATGAGCTTGGGCGGCGTCACCCCACTGCAATCTGTGAGGGTGGACTGTGGGTGAGGACGAGCGGCACTGTGGGCGTCCTCCTTTCCATCCATTTCTTTATTTACTCCTTCCTATGGTCCGTTCTGAAGCACCGAACACCCCAAGAAGATGATCCCATATAGGTGCTCAATTTACATCAGGAGGGGGCCTCTTCCGAGCTCGCGGAGTCTCTTTTAGCTACTTTAGAACCCACACACGCCGCTCGTGCGGCTCAATCAAGAAGGTGTGGCAAACATGGCGACGGATGAGCAACAGTTGGAGGAGCTCCAGCGAAGATTTCACCTCATGGGTACTACGCAAGGCCTCTCTTGTCATCATTGCTGCATGTAACTGTATACACACAGAGGGGGAGCGCAAGATGACCTACGAGGCGGCGCAACAGACTCTCAAACAGAACAAAGACACCATCAAGACGCTCAAAGAGGAGGCCAAGTGTGCACACACGCTGAAGAAAGAGCAAGTCACATCACACCTGCCATCTTGATTGCACCGGCATCCTGTAGGACACTACGTCTTGCTGTCACTGACCTCAAGAAGAGCACCCTGCCGCCAGAGAATGTCCAGTTGACACAAAAGGTGTGCAATCGCTGTATAACGAAGCGGGCAGTCATGCCCAAATGCCGATCCCGGCTCTCTTCATTTGTGCTCAGCGAGAGGAGCTTGCGACGTCCAAGACGAGACTGGACCTGACGAGGGACGAGAATGCAAAGCTGCACTCCGAACTCAAAATACTCACCGTAAGTAGCCACCTGTGAAGTCACGCAACCCGACGTGATGGTTGGCATCCGGCAGGACAAGCTCAAGGAGCTGGAGCTGAATGCCCGCAGGCCGACCAGCGACGACTCACCACACATGAAGCAAATAAGAATCTTCGAAAATAGACTCGACAAGGTAGGGGTGCACATGGGACACCCCCCCCGTTGTCGACGCTCTTTGGCTCGATTGTTTTGACTCACAGGCCATGATCAAGTACAATGAGGCACAGAGCATCCGCAAGACGTACGAGCAGATCGTCAAGCGGCTCAAGGACGAGCGAGTCGGATTCGACCATCAGCTTGCCGCCATCGAAAAAAGCCTCAAGGTGAATGAACAGTTCAGCCGGCAGTTTCTTTGTTCATCGCCGCATCTTCGCTCCTTTTTCTTCTCCCCAGGCCAAGGAGCATGACTACGAGGAACTGCTGCTGCTGTCCCACGATGCCAACCATGCGAAGGACATGGCGCAGGCGGAGCTGCATCGCTTCGAGCAGAGTGTGATTGAGGAGAGGCAGCAGCGGGAGAAAGAAGTGCAGGTACATACATACACGCACAAACGACAACACCGCCGAGCTGCAAGGCGCGCGTCATCCTTCTTTTTCTATCAGGAGAAGAAGACGCTGGTTCAAGCACGCGTCGAAATGAACCAGCGGTGAGACACCAATTACACTCGTCTGCGTCCTTTGCGCATGTCGCCCTTTTCTCTTCCTGGTCAGTCTGGAGCAGCGCGAGCGCGAGAAGAAGCTGCAACAAGAGGCGGATCGCGCTGGCAAAGAGGCACTCCAGACCACGCAGGCCGTCTCCGAGCTGGCTGCCGGCGTCTCGCACGCAGAGGCGGAAGATGAAAGGCAGAGAATGCAGGTCGCTGCATCTACAAGCAAGAGAGCTCTCTTGAAGGCCTTGACATCACTCCGTGTGTGTGTGTGTGTGTGTGTTGGCTGCAGGATTTCGAGGAGGCGTTCAGAAGGATAAAGGAGGCGACGGGTGTGTCTGACGTCAACGAGGTCATCCAGAAGTTCCTCACCCAAGAGGAGACGCAGAACAACCTCCTCAACCTCACCAAGGAGAACCAGGCCCGGATCGATCAACTGCAGGAGGAAAGAGCCAGACTCAGAGCCAAAGTGCGTGGGCACGTATGCGTACCTGTTGGAGGCACGAATGAATGAAGTCGATACGCGGTGTGCCGTGGAACGCCTATCTGCCTGTTCTGGTCTATCTGTCCGTCAGTTGGAGGAGATGAAGTTCTCGTCGTCTGGTATGGAGCAGCGGCGTCAGGCTGTGGATGACTACGAGGCGCAGCTCAACGAGGCCAACTCACGCTGCGAGCGGGCGCGCGTCAAGTACGAGCGGGTCGCTAAGATACTCGTCGACGCCACCGCTGGCATCGACCACCTCGCCGAGTTCCTGCAACCTATCAAAGTAAGTGAGCACAGTGCCCTCGCACACACACGCAGCACAAACATCATGTGTGTGCCGTGCGTCTATCTGTCAGCTTGACCGTGAGGCGCCCGAGACGGCTGCACCTGGTGCGGCAAGGAATGTCGAGGACACGCTGGTGACGTGCGACCTGAAGCTCACGAAACTGCTTGCTCTTACTAACATGGTGTGTGAGTGCGATGCCTCTCTGTCTCAATTGGCTCAGACTGGATGTGTGTCCGTGAGTGTGTGCACGTGTCGATGCAGGAGCCGCAGGGGCCCCCTCCAGGTCTGTTGGAGACAGCCAAGATGGAGTCAGCCCTCAGCAGCATGGTGAGTGAGCGCAGACAGACATGTATGTCCATTTGCCCTGCTCTCTAGTCATGTCTCTCGCCGCCTTGTCGTCTGTCTGTCTGCATATGAATGGGTCCACGTGGTGTCAGGCTCAGAGCATCCGTGTGCGTCTGCCTGAGGCCGATGCTGACGAGGACAGAGACGAAGACGAATACGAAGACGAGGTATGTACAAACAAGCAGCCAGCCGAGAGACACACTTCTTCCCCGTGGGTGGCTCCCTCCCTCCCTCCCTGCCCCACTCAGCTTGACGAGGAGGTGTGGAATCGCAAGCACGTCAAGTACAACTCACAGCAGCTCCTCGAGAAGCAACAAAAGAAACTCAAGTACATCAATGAGGCCAACACCACACACACGGGCGACCCTTTACGGGTGTGTTTGGCTGTGTGTGTTTCAGGAAAAAGATCAAGGGCAGCAAGCCGCGGAAGGAGTGAGAATGCCGCTGTCCTACTGCTGTGCTGCTGGCGTGTGTGCCTGTGGGGGGTCGATTGATTCGTGCATGCTTGTTTGGGACCTTTCACCTCAAGTAAGTCATGTCATGGGATGGATGGCGGAAACACTACCAAACCAGCTGACACATAAACAGGCTATAGCTAGCTAGCACGACTGCACGTACGGGCGTCTTCATATCACATGCGACACATATATATCGACACACATACACGACACGACACGGCCACCACTTACCTCCCCTCCAACCAACCCAGCAGCCCACTACCAAAACGGAGCATGCACACACACAGAGAATTCAACACGCACACGGATGCATCCGGCCAGGTAGGTATGATGTTTGCACACACATAAACGGCACAAGACTGCCACCTCAAACGCTACAAAACTGATGTAGATAGACCGCCAGCAACACACAAACTTAAACGCAGAAACTGACAGCATGTGGCTGGTTGGCTTGCCGGGTCTCATACTTGTGTGAAGCAACTCCTATATTTCTCTCCTGAGCACGACGGACAGGCAATCAAGCGTTGTTCATTTCTTATTCAGTGCTGCCATGCCGAATGACTCACCAGCGTATTTCGCCCTGTCGCCCAACTCCTCCTCGATGCGCGTCAGCTGGTTGTACTTGGCCGTTCGCTCACTGCGGCATGGGGCGCCCGCCTTGATCTGGCCGCTGCCGAGTCCGGTGGCAAGGTCGGCGATGTAAGTGTCCTCCGTCTCACCAGAGCGATGCGACACCTTTGGGCCCAAACACAACACAATTGGACGTCTCACATGCACCGCAACGTATGCATCCTGTTCTCCCTTTCCTCACCATGACGTTCCATCCGAGCTTCTGGGCGGCGAGGGAAGCCTCCAGCGCCTCCGTGACGGTGCCGATCTGATTGACTTTGAGGAGCAGGGCGTTGCAGGCCTTGAGGTCGCCCGCCTTGGCCACACGAGTCGGGTTGGTCACAAGCAAGTCGTCACCTGAAAATAAGGAGCATGTGTGGGGCACGGGGGTGCGCTCGAGAGCGCCAGGACGATCTTTCTCGCTCACCGACGATCTGTATCTTGTCTCCCAGCTTCTCCATGATCGAGGAATATGCTGCCCAATCATCTTGCTCGTACGGGTCTTCAATTGAGGTGATGGGATACTTGTTGGTGAGTGACCTGCACAGTCACGTAGCGACATTTCTTCTTCTCCTCCACTCGCCCATTGGCTGTCTGCCTGGCTGACCGATAAATGTCCCCCAGCTCCTCGGCAGTAATGATGTCTGATGGTGATGCGCTCTCGCTCTTGAAATTCATGTTATACTGCGACAGCCGACACAAGCATGGGTGGGCGCATCGAGGTCTGAACCTGAGCACGTGTGGTGCGTACCGTACCTTGCCATCGTCCGTATACATCTCTGACGCCGCGACGTCCATTGCGATGTTGACCTTGCCCGCATGGCCCGCCTCCTGGATGGCATCCATCAGCAGGCCCACACTCTCGTCCGCATCCTACGCAAACACACACAACGGTGTGCAGCAGCTACATTTGAAAATGGACTCTCTCTTCGCCCCTCGTCCTGTCCTTCCCTACCCTAGTGGGTGGCGCAAAGCCGCCCTCATCACCGACATTTGTTGCGTCCTATATTGAAGACAGCAGAGACAGCAACAGCAAATGTCGGTGACAAATGTCGGTGTCTTCATGTAGACAGACAGGGCGCGCGTCCATTCGCATGTTTCTTCGCATGTCTGCAAACCAGTCCATATTTCTTCTTGATGATGCCTTTGAGGGTTTGGTAGATCTCACTGGCCATCCGCACACTCTCTGAGAAGGATGACGCGCCCGAGGGCAGCACCATGAACTCCTGAAAGGCCAGCGTGTTGCCCGCGTGAGAGCCGCCGTTAATGACATTCATAAAAGGGACGGGCAGAACGTACGGAGACTCCAAGTCAGTCCGACCTGCACATAGATGCGGGCGCCCAGGCAATGAGTCGATTGATTGCATAAATGTCTTCATCCACCTCTCAGCGTACCTACCTGTGAGTGACCGAATGTAGGCATAGAGGGGCAGCCCCTTGGCAGCCGCGCCAGCACGTGACAGCGCCATGGATACGCCCAATATCGCATTGGCGCCGAGCTTTCCTTTCGTCCACCCCCACTCGTTCTTGCTGCCGTCCAGCTCTTCTGTCATCAGCTTGTCCAGCTCTCGTTGCTCGGTGGCATCCTTTCCCGTCAGAGCTGGCTTGATGGTCTCGTGGACATTCCTGACAGCGGTGAGGCAGCCCTTGCCTTTGTATCGGCTCTTGTCGGCGTCGCGCAGCTCATTCGCCTCATAAATTCCCGTGCTGGCACCCGATGGCACGACTGAACGAACAGCACACACGCACACACAAACGGAAGAAACACGCGATTCCATGCGCACACATGTGGGTGAGCGCTTGGGATCCTCACTGCTGCGGAAGAGGCCCATCTCTGTCATGAGATCAACCTCAACGGTAGGGTTGCCTCGCGAGTCAAGCACCTCCCTACAATAATGGATGGCATCAGAGAAATGAGCTGTACTGTTGTGCCTTGTGTGTGACTCACCTTGCGCGAATGTTCAGGATCTTCGCTGACATCTCCATGGGCATCTTTGATGGCCTTCCGCTGCGTCGGCCAAGTAATGATGAGTCACCGTGCCGCCTCAGCAGACGTGCATGATTCTGAAACACCGTCCTCGAGGTGGCCGCGCCAGCTGCCACGATGGACACCACATATGCGATAGGAAACAGATGCGTCATCATTCTTAGATGCGACGGCTGCCAAGCAACTTAGAGCGGATTCGCCACCTGGCGCTGAGCTTGCAGATGGCGATCCTCGTTGGTTTCCAGTGCAAAAGCGGCCCCATTGTCGAAGGCTCACGTCTGCACGTCACTGCACTACCGTTTTCAGCTTTTCGTGCAAAGATCCGGTATGTCGATCGCTGGCCGTTCAACGGCCGAGGTGCCACAGCGTTGGCTTCTTCCTCGGCTTAATTTCCTTCTGCTTTCTGCCCCGTACAGTACCAAGTTGGGCAGGATGAAGCATCTGTTGGCTCTGACGGCGCTTTCCTGCCTCTCGGGTAAGCAGGCAGAGCAGACACTCCTACGTGCGACTCACCACTCAAGTGACTGCGGGCTCTTGTTGTGAAGCAGGCATCCACGGCGCTCTCGTCAAGACGGGCTGTTATGACGTCGGATATGAGTACGGCCCTGAGGGCTTCGGCCCCGTGTACAGCACGACGCTGCAGGAAGTCCCGATGGACGGCACGGCCAGCGACCCGGCCATGCCCTGGCTGGCCTGCGAGGACATGTGTGAGCAGACTGACGGATGCAACTACTTCACGTGGGAGGCAGGCAAGTGCCACAAGGTGGGTAGATGGGTGGGCTGAAACGCACGGAGGCACGGACCAGAAGATGCTATTGATTGAGCGTGTGGTGTGTGATGTGAAGATCAAGGAGGAAAGGGACAAGATGTGGGCGCCAAACGAGGTGTGAGGGCGGGAAAGGGAAATCAGCAACGCACCGCACCGCACCGCATGAACCAAGCCGACCCCTCCCTCCTCCCTGTGTGTGTGCGTATGTGCGCTTCTCTCTCCCTCCCTCAGGTCTACGTGACTGAAGCTGCAGATGAGGCCGAGTGCGTCCAGTCGTGCGCCGAGGACCCCGAGTGCAACATCGGGCATCGCTTTGAGCCCCCCATCTGCAAGCTCAAGACCTCCCTCGTCCCCGTGAAGCAGCTCAAGGCCTGGTACACACTCGTTTCCGGCCCTGCGCCCTGCCCCGGCCTCAACCGCACCGAGCTGGTGGAGCTGGGCAAGACCTCCGTCGGCACGGGAGGCTGTGCCCTCAACTATGAAAGGAGCGGCGACATGTGCTATCGGATCGCCTATGACGACAGGAAGACGCAGCCCGATGCGGCTACCGAGTGCGCAAAGGTCGAGAACGGCTCCCTGGCCATGCCCAAGACACGGGTGCGGTGCGCGAGGGAGAAAGGGAGCGATCGAATGATGAGAGAGACCTTCCTTAAGGCTTTTGTTTACTGTCCCTTGCTTGTGTGGTGTGTGGGCTGCTCTGCTGCAATCGTCCAGGAGCTGGGTTTGAACATCCTGGCTCTGTTTTGCCCGAAGGTTCCCGAGGGCGTGGGCATTGGGCCTGTGATTGAGAAGCCCACAGAGGTGGGCTCCAGCACCTTCGAGTGTGTGGTGCCGCGGGGAGACAACCTGGATGGACCCTACTACATGGGCCTGGTCTCAGAGCAGGTGAGATGCACACCACACGGACGTGCCTCGTGGCCGGCTGGCTGCTTAATGCCTTTTCTCGCTCTCTTTCTGTCTGTCTGTCTGTCTGTGATCAGATTGGGTCTGGTTTGAATGTGTCGATTGGTGCGTGGTCTTGGGTGGACGGTGAGCCGTTGGGCGAGTGGTCAGCATGGGGCGGCCAGGGGGAGAACACGCCCCTCCTCTACGGCGACTTCCCCACCATCCAACCCGACAACACTTCGGGCAAGCAGCTCTGCACCTACTTTTACGTCAGTCACCACAGCACAGCACAGCACAGCACAACCACACGACAATCCCAACACGCACACCGCCCTCCCCTCTGTCTCCCCCCTGTCTGTCTCTGCCTGTCTCTTCCAGCCGCGGAATTCGCCCGAGTTTGGAGGGTCGCCCAATGGCGGATGGGGCGATGAAGACTGTCTGCACAAGTGCCTCTTCCCTGCCCAAGACATGAACCGCACCTCCCAGTCCACATGCTGGACGCAAGGAGAGGGCGGCTATTTTGACGTCTCGGACGTGGATGCGGACCCATCAGGCCAGCTAGGCGGCCTGGTCACCGCCGCTGAATGGGACGAGGGCATCAATGTGGGCAAGATCACCGACACGCCGCGGCACTACATCTGCGAGGCACCCATTGGCATGGAGGGCGTCGCTCTCGGTGAGGCGAGGCCATGCACCAGTGTGGCCCTTCCTGTCCTTGCTCATGCGTGCCTGTTGTCTGTCTGTCTGTCTGTCTGTCTCTCTGTATGTGTGGGGTCTGTGTGTCTGTGTGTGCATAGATGACTGTGTGGATGACCCCGACAAGGTCAGCCCCGGCATGTGCGGCTGCGGGGTCAAGGACATCGATTCGGACCTGGACGGTCTCATGGACTGCCTCGGTCGGTCGGCACCCACATACACACGCACACACCGACACACACACACACACACACACACTTACGACACACTCACTCCCTCTCTCTTGTGCTTGTGCGTGCCGTCTCAGATTCAGCCCCCGATGACGCCACCATCCGCTCTGCGAACGAGACCGTCGCCGCGCAGATCACCAACATGCTTCAGAACAGTAGCATGGCCGCCACGCCCGACGATGTCTCGGCAAGCGTGCCGCCCGAGGAAACGGTGGCTGAGCCAAAGGGGGCCGTTATGTGGACGGTGGCTGAGGAAGACCTGACGGCGGCAGACGCGCTCAAACGTCTGAGGCGCGCCTAGGAGAGTGCTGGGTGGACGAGGTTTTGGTGTGTGCTGTCGTCGTCGCGTGGTGTGGGTAATTGGATGGTCATGAATGAATGAATGGATGGATCTGATTGATCGATCGCAAGTGTTGGTTTTCTCGGTATGCATGCATGTGCAGCCAGCCAGCCAGCCAGCAAGTTTCTCCCCATTCAATCAATGACAAACACGTGGGTGGGTGCATGTGTGGTGTGCGTGACTACACATTGAATGCATTGATTGAGTGGGGCGGGGCCTCCCTCCGTATGTCTGTATTTTGCAAGAGAATGGAGTCAGGTATCCATACCCTCACCATGATGCCTGTTTTTCCAGAAGGGACGGACGAGAGGCTCACGAATGGCCTCCCCTCCCCCCTGTGTGTGTGTATTCCGGCAGGAAGTGACACCAGGCAGGAAGTGACGCCAATCTCATGTTTAGTTGTTGTTGTGTGTAGGTAAGAGGGTGGGTGGGCATGGGTACACACAATGGCAAACAGTGTTTGACATCATTTATTTTGTGGTCGTGCTAGTCCGTGCGTGTCATTTCAAGCTCTGTGTGCACCGCACCGCACCAGTCAGTCAGTCTGCTGTCTATCGTCCACATCCACATGATTGAATGTAAACACCATCTAATGTCATGAATGGTGTCTCTGTGTCCGTCCATCCATCCATCCATCCATCTGTCGGTCTGTTTTCCAACGCTCTCTGCGTAGCTATGGTATCTACACACATCACATACAGCAATCACAAACAGCAACCAGCAATCGTCCAGTCACCCCGCCCAATCCACCAATTCACCAAAACCTCCAGCCCCCTTCCCTTCTCAGGCGTCATCGAAGTGCAGCGGTATCGGTTTGGTCCTGTCGAGGGGCACGTCGATGACGAACGGGGGCCAGATCGGCCTGTACATGAGATCAACAGAGGCCGCGTTGACATACACCTACCCACGGGCACACCAGACAGACAGACGACAGACAGGCAGGCAGGCAGGCAGGCAGGCAAGACAGGTGCGTTCGTGGCGTGCATCGGCCGGCGTGCGTGTGTGAATGGGGCAGCTTGGCTTACGGTTGTGCCGTCGAAGGCGACTCCCCTGCCTTCGTGGATATGGCCGTATATGTTGAGCCTGTAGCCACAGAGAAAAGACAGCCGAATGAGCGCGATTGCCGTCTTCTTTTTCTTCTCTCTGTACATGCTGTGCTTGCCTTGCCTTGGTTTGATCCTCCCTTGGATCTCCCGCTTGAGATCTGCACAGCCGGCATGGACACGCGACTTGGTGAAGTCAAGGATTTGGTATGAAGGGCCGTGTGTGATCAACACGTCGACGTCATCCGGAATCTGCACCGCACCGCACCGCACCCGGCAAGCAGCCAACAAACCACACGCACGGACGACAACGGATGACGATAAAACACCACACCCCCTCCCTTCATCACTTTACCACTCACCAGCTGCCACTTCTCAGATATCTCCTCCCCCCTGTCGAGGTTGAAGCCCCAGTCAAAGAATGTCGGGGTCCATGGGGAGCCCCATAAAGTGAGGCCTTTGACCGTGGTGCCCGAGTCCTCCAGGTAGGTGCAGTGCTGCAGCGATGCACGGACCGCCTCGCAGTCGTGTTGCACGTCGTGGAAACGACTGATACACACGAGAGCGACACACAGGGAGTGGGAGGGAGGGAGGGATCATGTGTGTGTCTGTGGAACAAGGATAGGTCGCTCACCGCCACAGACGGGGATAGTATTTGGTGTCGAATGTGAGGTCGTGGTTGCCCGCTATGACCACCTTATGCTCGTAGGGCTGACCAGCCAGCCAGTTGCTCAGCTCCTTGATGGCATCGGGCTCACCATCCATCTGGACAGACAGACAGACAGACAGAGACCACAACAGAGCAAGTGAACCTGCACACAATCGTTCCCAAGACGTTGATTGATTCGTGTCCCAATTGTCGTGTCCCCCGTGCTGACCGTCCAATCGCCGGCGTGAATCAGCACATCCCCCAAGGGGAGAGGTGTGGTGTCGTCGGCTCCCTCTGGCGATTTGGTGGTGGTGATGCTGCCATGCTGGCTGTGTGTGTCCGAAATGCACACCAGACGGACGTACCTAAGACCAGCATACAAGAAACACACGGTGCACGTCGGTGGCGTGGAGTCGTCTGCACTGCGCTGCGCTGTGTGGTGTGTGCCCACCCCGGCAAGCTTCTGTTCCTCTCAACCCACTCTTTGTCGTTGTCGGGGTCAACAAAGCGGCAGCTGGCCGACGGGCAGACACGAACGGGCTGTCTGCTGCCCATGGATGGGCGACGAGGGAACGGAGATCTGTGCAGGAACAAGGCTGCTGCTGTGAGAGGAACCAGCCTCAGCTGTCGCATGCACCACGCGGAGGAAGTTTGCCGCACATCAAATGCGAGCTTGGCAGCGACAGAGATCTGGCTGCGGGGGTAGCGTCTATCCCGGCGTCTTGCGTCTTGGATGCGTCACAAAACCGGATGGCGTCAGGCGTTTGTGCTGCTGCAGCTGAGCCTCATCACCTTCTGCATCTTCGTCGGCGACGCTGCCGCTGCTGGGCCTGCGCGCGAGCTCTTCATCTCCCGCCATGCCTGGCCTGGTGTGCATTCAGCCATCCGCCGTCGGCTACGAGCGCGGCGATGGACGTTCATCAGGATGACTGGAGAATCTGATGAGATGGAAGGCGAGGAGTCACGGGAGCAGATCCCTTCTGACCTGGTGATGCGACGCAGCGAGCAGTGGGGATGCGTGAGGTATAAGAACACGATAGATACATGAAAGACGCAACGATCGATGTACGCGGTTGATTGGTTCGTCTGTCTGTGCGGTCTGGTCTCCCTGCATATATGTGATGGATGTGCCCTGCAGGAACTGTGGCGCATGTTGCCGCTTGGCTGACTGGCTGCCGAACGTGGATGAGATCTTCCTCTACGGGAAGGACAAGGCGCTTTTCCTCTCAATGATCCGCCCCGAAGACGGCTACTGCAGACACTTCGATCAGGACACGCGCTCCTGCACCATCTATCACGACAGGCCTTGGTTCTGTCGCGTCGAGGCCGACATCTTCGGCCATCTCTACGGTATGGCCGTGGACGAGATGGACGAGTTCTGCCGCGAGTGCTGCCGAGACCAGATCCGCAAGGTGTTTGGCGCCGACAGCACGGTGAGGAGGGAGTTCGATGAGCTGCAGGAGCGGCTGGAGCAGGAGATGATCGACGAGCGGCAGCCTCGAATCGTGCCGAGGCACGCTGTTGAGATGGGGGAGAGGGAGGGGATTGTGTGGTGGGAGAAGCAGCCGCCTGCTCTTCCCGAGAGGCTGAGGCTGTGGCGGACGACGGACGGATGGATCCCCTACCAGGACTATTTTGATAGACAGATAGAGAGATAGAGAGATAGGGAGGAGAGGGGACAGGTCAGATCAGACGAGGGGACTTTTCTAGTTGGTCACGTTCTTCCAGCTTGTCTCGGTGTGTCGTCTGGAGGTGTTAGTCGATGAAGAGTGAGGCCTTGCGTATCACCGCATCCAGTGGTGATGCATGAGTCCGGTTCATTGTCGACTGCAACACTTCCCGGCGGGCACGGGTGGATACATATAGCATCGGGCTGCTCGCCCCGTGTAAGCCACAATTGCAAGTTTACGACTGGCAAGAATCGGGAGGTCCCTTTTACACACGTTTCAGCCCGCCAGACAACGGCATGACGAGTGGTGGTGGTGGTGAGGAGGATGACGCCTCTCTGCTGTGGATCTCTCATCGCACGCACGTCGAGGCTCTGGCCAAGGACCTCGCCGCGGCCCGAGAGAAGCTTCAGAAGGCCAAGGAGGAAACGCGAAAGCTGCTGGCCGAGAGCGCAAAGCTCAAGCTCGAAGCCGCAGCCGCCAACGAGCGCATCGAGGCGCGAGAGCGGTCCATCCACGACGAGAAGGCGCAGGTGGCCAGCGAGCACGAGAGGCGGCTGCGGGAGAAACAGGATCAGCTGACAGAGATGGAACGGTGCCTCGAGAAGGCCATGCAGCAGCGGAAGGAGTCGCAGGAGGCCCTCTTGCAGCAGAGGTACAGTACTCACTGACGCAGAGGATGGATGTAAGTACTAACCGTCGGGATGTGATGTGTGTGCCACATTTTGTTTTGCTTTGCAGTGTTCGTGTGTTTGAGATTGAGCAGCAGCTGGAGGACTGCAAATCTCGCGAGGCGAGCAGCTCCAACGCTCACCAGGCCCTCTGCAACAGCGTCGAGCAGAGATACAATTCACTCAAGGCCACTGTGGTCAGTCAGATGAGGGGCGAGGGGGCGGAATTCAATGATGCTATACCTGAGCCTGTGTGGTGTGTTCGGTGCATATGGTCGGTTCGGTCGTGTAGGATGAGACGAGGGTGTTGTTGGACGACAGTGCGCAGGAGAAGGCTAAGTTAGAGGAGTACCAGCAGAGGCTGCAGGAGAGTGTCACCGCACTATCTACCAAACTCAAGGTGTGTCTCCTCATGTGCACCACGAAGACAGCCAGGGGGTGCGCACCGCACTTGAATGGCTGTGTGTGTGTTTGTGGCCGTCTGTTTGTCAGGAGAAGGATTCGTTCATCGTGGAGATGGCCCAGCGCGAGAAGGACGTGTCGAGCCAGCGCAACGCAGCCCTGCTGAAACTACAAGGTCACAATAGGACGTGTTGAAGGACACAATGCGAGGTGACGTGTGGTGTTCAGAGGCGGAGAGTACCATCGCATCTCTGCGCTCGGACGTCGAAACCTCTAAGCAGAACAACGAATCCACCAAAGGTAGGTACCCCAAACGCACCGACACCCATGCGGCATCCCTCCCGCTCTTCCCTCTGTGTGCTCATGTCATGTGTCCACCCACCCACTTCATGGGTCTCATTCATGTTTATGTGTGTGTGTGTGTGTGTGTGTGTATGCAGAGCGAGCAGCCCACTACTCGCAGCAGTACAACGCAACCCTGGCCAAGCTCGACAGCCAGCGCAAGTACATCGACAGCCTACAGAGAACATGCCAGGAGCAGAACCAGCAGGTTGGTTGGGAGCACCAAGGAAAAGACGACTGCACCACGCCCATGATATAATGTCTCGATGTCTCGTGGTGTTTGTCATCCATTCATCCATCAGATCAGTAAGTTGTCCGAGACCGTGCGGCAGCACCCAGAGTACTCTGGCGGTGACCCGCTGCCGCCCTGCCCTGCCATGCTGGACGCAGCCACATCGACAGACCACCGTGCGGCACATGGGACCAAGTCCATCCAGGCCCACATCCTGCCGGCGTCAAGTGAGGCGTCGGTGCAGGCCGACGTCACCAGCCCCATCGCCATCGCACAGCTACAGCAAGAGGATGGTGATCAGTATGACCATGACAACGCCCACAGCCACCGCGACCACGAGATGATGCCGCCTCCCTCACCCCGCCACGCGCCAGCCTCGCCCCGCTCCCTCGTCCCATACGGATATGCATCGCCCAAGCCCCTCCCGTCGCTCAACAATAAGTACCAGCATCGCAGCCCCTCTGCCAGTGGTGTGTGTCGTGTGATGGGGCCGCCACCCGCCCTGCCGCCATTCCCCTCTCCCTCTCCATCAGCGCCAGCAGCTGCTGGTGTTGACGGTTGGAAGGGCTCAGTGGGTCACTCGCCGTTACATTGTTTGTCGCAGCCTCAGTCGCAGCGAAGTGTGCGGCAGAGTGGCTGTGGTGGTGGGGGAGGGTCTGTCAAGCGGAAGGTGGTTGACATTGAGTTGTCGCCCCACGACCATGGCGAGGGGCGCAGCAGACAGCGGATGCGGGCGTCTCTATCGCCTGGTGAGTTAGTGAGAGAAGGCGAGACACAGACACATCACAATGGAACAGACGGATGGATGGATGGATCTGGGTGTGGGGTATCTCTGTGCTCTGTGTGTGTTAGCAGCGGAGGGATGTGGTGGCGGTGGTGGTGGTGGCACGGGTGTGGGAGACGATGGGCGCCTGGTCAGGGAGGAGGAGAGCATGCCCCCTCCCCGCACAATCAACGACATCTTCGGATCGTTCCTCTCATCACAGGTGCGTGCGTGTGAGGGTGACCCAGCAGACGAACGAACCAGCATACACGCACACCTGGTCTGTGTGTGTGAATGCCCATGCATCCATGCAGGCGGGCTACTCGTGAGAGGGTGAGTGAGCTTGTTCGCGGCCGCAGAAGGAGAACTGATGCGTGCGCTTGTGGATGTCGTGTGAGTGAGAGTATGGAACAATCGCTACTCTATTGTCGAAGTCATCAGTGGTACCAGCGCACCGGCCGGCCAATCACTGCATGGTTTTGAGACGTGTGTCCATCCGTCTGGGTGTTCATCGCCCGCCCGCCCGCCGGTCGCATGGGGAGTAATAAAACGCAACGCGACACATACGCACATTTGTCGACGTCATGCAGTGGGTGAGTGTGGGTGTGTGGGTGTGGGTGTTCGGGTGAGTGACTAACAAATACAGACGACGACGCAACCCGCACAGAGACCAACTCATGCTCACCACATGCACGAGACGACACAACGTGCTGTCCTCTGCTCTGTGTGGTAAGAAAAACTCTGCGGCAGACCGACATGTTCATGGCGAATTACAGAGTAACCCCACCCCTTTCGGCTGGCTGCGGTTCGTCTGTCGGCCAGCCCGATAGGTCACGTTCGCATCCTCATCCATCGAACCGGTGACCCACTCGAACCCGATACCCAAACCGCAGAGGAAGCCGATATGTGTAACAGAATGAATGATACACGCAGACGCACATGTACACATACGCACATCGATTCCATTCGCTTGCCCTCCTTCCTGTGGTATCACGCGCCGACCCCACCGGATGGGAGGCTCCATGTCATTGGATGGACAGGAGCTTACCGGCCGCAGGGCTGGCACAACGACGCCGCAAGGGACAGGCATCAACCAACAGCATCGTGTATACACATCACCATAACCACCAGCAGCAGACAGCCCGGGCAAAAATCATGATGCCATCCCACCCCGACACGTAGCACACACGCACAGAGAGACAGAATCCTTCCCAGTCCTTCCTTCGCGACAATCGGATGACCCACGCTCGGACGCAACACACATCCGATGGTCGTCGTTGCGGGTGGGGTGGGTGTCAGGGAAGTCAGTCACTTGCAGAGACCGACCGACATGCACATATACAGAACGCACTCACATGTGTACGCAAGTGACCAGCGCATACACGCATACACACACAGGAGTGAAGGTAGCCAGGAGCGGAGGGGGAGGGGGAGGAATAGGGGGAGGGGGAGGGGACGAGCCCTTCGGGCTTCCCAAAAACGGCCAGCCGACCAAGTCAGTCAGTCAGTCTTGAAAATAATGATGGATGGATGGATGGACGCATGAATGGATGATACATGTGCTTATGTATGTACGTATGTATGTGTGTGGGCCCACATCATTAGAGTACATAAGTGACCGGACCGGACCGGGCCGCGAAGAGAGTCAGTCAAAAAAGACCACACCACCGACCGTTGATCGATCGATCGATAAGTAACGATCGAACGGACAAGTGCACATCATAAGCGATAATTAATAGCCACAGGCCGTTCCGTTGACGATGCATCATTTCCTCACCTGGGGGGGCTGTGGTCTGGGGATGCTTGGTGAGAAAAGACCAATACAGACACACGGGCACAGATGCCCCTCCCCAAAGTGTAGTGTGCAGAAAAGTAACCATAAGCAGTAGGCAGGTCGCGAAAAATGGCAAGGAAAAGTGGCTTGCTTGGCTTTGGCGGGCACCGAAAAATCAGGTGCCCTTTCTGTGTCAGTCAATCAATGTACACGCACCACCACCACCACAACATACAGCTACACATCCATGTATACATGCATACACACACGCACGCACGCACCATCATGTCATGTCATGCACCACGCACCGCCACGCACCAGGCACACACCGGCATGAGTCGGCAAAACTGACACTGTCGAATCCTTTCCTCTCCTCACACACACACACACACACACACACAGCCAGCAAGACGGACATCCACCCGATCAGCCAGCCAGGCAGCCAGCCAGCCAGGCAGCCAGCCAGCCAGCCAGCCAGCCAGGAAGGCAGCCACACGGATGCCTGTCTCCCCTTTGGGACGTCAGGCCAGGACGCACCATCAGACACACAACACACGGACAGACACCGACAGCCAGGCCACACTGAGTGAACAACAACACACACATCCATCCACCCATCACATGTACATGAAGATGTATGTATGCCTGTGTGGTTCCCTCTGTTGATACAGACAGATAGAGTAGGGTAGGGCGGGGTGTGGGTGGAGATCAGCGCAGTGGGGGTGTCCAGTGCCCAAGGCTCCCTCCTCTCACAAAAGACCGACTCCCATGAGCAGGGCATCGATCGCTCCAAAATCTCTCTCGCTGCTCACCTCACTGGCCCGACTCTCTATCTATCGCTCTGTCTCTCTCATTGCTCGCTGCTTCTGAAGGCCTTGAGCTTCCCGTGCAGGAATCCCCTGTTCTGCTTGCTTGGCATCTTGGCCGCCACGCCGTCCACAGAGTTGTCTGTGCTCATCGGCGACTGCTCATCCTGCACGCCAAATCGCGCCACGTCCATCACCGACACCGGGCTTTGCGGCTCCGCCTCCACCGGCGTAGCGGCGGCGCGCTTGTTGGCGTCCATCCTGGCGATCATCTCGGCCACGTAGGACGGGCCCGGCGATCGCGAGCGGATCTTGCGGCCGCCGGCTGCCTTCTTGGGGCTGACCTTGACGCCCTGGGGGGTCACCACCGTGACGGACGGCGCGGGGGAGTCCGGCAGGGCGACACCTGACACACCACACCACACAACAGACCGACCGATGCACCAGTCAGTGTGTCTGTGTGTGTCTGTGTGCCCTTCCTTTCGCGTGTCGTGTGTGTCTTGTTTGTCAGTCACCCACCGGGGAAAGCGACGTTGCCGCGCCTCTCCCTGTCCTGCACGGCCGCCTTGACCGTGGCGAACGGGGCTCTGGAAGGCGGCAGCTCAGGTGAGGTGTCGGGGCTGCTCTTGTTGGACGCCCCGTTGACCGGGGAGTTGTTATCGCTGCTCTGCGGCGAATTGTTGTCGGCGTCGCTCTCGATGCCGGGGCTGGAGGGGGCGGACTCCCACCCGTCGGTGCTCTCCTTGCCGTCCTTCTTGCACGACACGCGGGAGATGTCGGTGCAGGCGGTGGAGGGGATGTGGGTCAGCTGCATGCGCAGCGACGCCAGCTCCTGCTCAAGGGCATCGGCACGGCTGCGCTCGGCCTTCAACTCGCCGTCCAGAATGGCATTCTGGCGAACAGCCGTCTGCACACATACACACATCGCAATGAAGCAGTGAGAGCATGGGGGGGGGGGGGGGGAT